ATGCTTTGTGTTTGTAGGTGCCATAGGCGGGGCTTCTGGCTGGCTGGCCTGATGCCAGGGCAGGGGTTGCCAGTTTATGAGCCAGGTGGGGCTGGCTGGGAGAAAGATGCAGTAGGCTGCATATCATGGAGGAGGTCCTTCAAGCTGTGTAGCCAGCCAGGGATCTGGAGCGCCTAAAGATCGAGAAAGTTCCCAACCTGCTGGGCAGAGTGCACCCAGACAATTTTGTCTGCCTGTCCTTTCTCCTGAGCAGTAAGCTCTGTGCATTCCTTGCCCCTTTAGCAGTCCTCTCGCTTTTAGGAAGTCTCTCAGACTGCCCACCCAGATCAGCCAGATATGAATCCCTGTTTTCCACAAGCAGCTGAAATCTCCATCTCTCCATGAATTCTGCCTGTCTTAACTTTCCAACCCCACTAATTACCAGAGCACCATGCAATGTAGTTTTGTGCTCCCAGAGCAGATCTCCAGGGCTAGGTGTTCAGCACTCCCAGGCCTCCATTCCCTCCCTGCTCTGTTTCTCTTCCTCCTGCTGGTGACTGGGGTGGGGGAAGGGCTTGGGCCTTGCCAGGTCACAGCTTTGGTACATTACCCTGTTCCGTGAGGTCTGCTCTTTTCTCCAGGTGTATGCAGTCTGGTGCAACTTTCTTTCCTGTTGCTTTTTCAGGATTAGTTGTATTAATTATATTATCGTATTATATGTGGTTTTAGGAGGAGGTGTCTGTCTCGCATCTCACACTGCCATCTTTAATTCTGAAGTGTTTTAATAAAGAAAATGCTCCTGGTGTCCAATTTAGATCACAGAATGATTTCCACCACCTTGTGGCAACGAACATGACTTTCAGGGCAAAGAATGTTTTGGTTTTGTTTTCTTGTTTTTTCTTCAATCTTTCAGATGCTAAAACACAGCAGTAACTCAAGGTTATAAATTTTTGCATTAAAAAAAGCAATGCAATTCCATAAATGGAAAATGCTTTAGGGAAGCTCTAATTAAAACAGATCTTTGAAATAAACATCTGACTTTTGGGCAAAGCAATCAAATCACTGGCCCATATCATAAAATATTAAAAAGATGGAAATTTCATTATGTCAAGATGTAAAATGCTGGGATAATCCATCTGGGGAAAAGTGGAAGAGGTTCCACATGTCTAAACTGTACACTTTTGAAAGTAAAAAAGGGTTGCTCTTAATAATTGCACAAGACAATATGTGTAAAGTCAGGGCATAAAGACATACGGTTCCCCTAGTCATGTTTCTGTAGTTTAGCCTGGTAAAAATATGACTGCATTTTAGAGTAGAGAAATCTAGTATGGTAGATTTGGTGAAAAATCTAACATTTTCAAAAAGAACAAAATGTCTCTGTCTTTCAGTGTGTTTGCAGGAAGAGATTAGTATCAAATTTGAATTTTATTTTGGGGATGAAGTTAAGGGAGATTTCAAACCATTCAAGAGCTTGAGTAACCACCATCCTGTGGCAATAAACATCACTTGCATTTGATAAATCAAGTGAACAATGCACTGGTTTACAGACACATAGCATGCATGTGCCACCATTCAGTTATTCATTCACCTATCTCAGTTGCTTCTGATTTTGGTGATTATGAATACAGCTGCTATAAACATTCACATGCAGGTTTTTATGTATGCTTGTTTTCAAATTAGTTGGGTAAATATGTAGGAGCATGATTGCTGGATCATATGGTAAGACTATGTTTAGCTTTGTAAGAAACTGCCAAACTGTCTTTCAAAGTGGCTGTACCATTTTGTATTCCCACTGGCAATATGTGAGAGTGCCTGTTGTGCTGTATCTTCATCAGCATTTAATTGTCAGTTTTGGGAATTTTAGCCATTCTAATAGGTATGTAGAAGTATCTCATTATTGTTTTAATTTGTAATTCCCTACTGACAAATGAAGTTGGGCATTTTTGCTTACTTTTTATCTGTAGATTTTCTTTGGTGCAATTTTGTACAATGTTTAATAGGGCTGTTTGTTTTCTTATTGCTGAGTTTTATATATTTTGGATAAAAGCCCTTTATCAGATACATGTTTTGCAAATATTTTCTCCCAGTCTGTGGCTTATCTTTTCATTCTCCTAACATTCTCATGCAGAGCACAGTTTTTGATTTTAATAAAGTCCAACTCACACATTTTTTCTTTCATGGATCATGCTTTTGGTGATGAGTCTGAAAAATCATTGCCAAGTCCAAGATCACCTAGATTTTCTCCTATGTTTTCTTCTAGAAGTTTTATAGTTTTGCATTTTACATCTATGTCTATGATAGATTTTGAGTTAATTTCTGTGAAAAGTGTAAGGTCTTTGTCCAAACTCATTTTTTTCAAACAGATATCCAATTATTCTAGCACCCTTTTTTTTTAGAAAGACTATCTTTTTTTCCATTGACTTTCCTTTCCCCTTTGTCAAAGATAAGTTGGCTACATTTATACAGGTCTATTTCTGGACTCAGTATTTGTTCCATTGATCTGTTCTTTCACTAATACCATGCTCTCTTGCATCGTAGCTTTATAGTAAGTATTAAAGTCTTGTAATGTTAGTTCTCCAACCTCATTGTTCTTCCTCAGTACTGTATTGGCTATTCTGGGTCTCTTACCTTTTCATATAACTTCTAGAATCAGTTTGTTGATGTCCACAAAATATCTTGCTGGGATTTTTCTTAGAATTGTGTTTAATCTACAGGTCACATTGGGAAGAATAGGCAATACTGATTGTTCCTATCCACAAACATGGAATATCTGTCTACTCATTCAAATCTTTTCTATTTCTTTCATTAGCTGTTTTTTATTTCTAGTTGAATTCCATGATGGTTTGAAGAACATATTCTCTGTATGATTTCTATTCTTTTAAATTTGCCAAAGTATCTTTTATGATCTGGTATGTGGCCTATCTTGATGACTTACATGTGAACTTGAGAAGAATCTGCCTTCTGCTGTTGGATAAGTATAGTACAAATTTTAATTAAATCAAGTTGTTTGATGTTTTGTTCAGTTCAACTATATTCTTGCTCATTATCTTCCAGATGGATCTATTTACTACTAAAAAACAGTATTCAAGAATATACAATGGGGAAAAGACAGTCTTCTCAATAAACAGTGTTGGGAAAACTGGACAGCTACATGCAAGAGAAGGAAATGGGATTACCTGCTAACACCATACACAAAAGTAAACTTTAATTAGATTAAAGACCCGAATATAAGACATGAAACTGTAAAATTCTTAGAAGAAAACAGGCAAAAATTTTTGGACATAAGCATGAATAACTTTTTTCTGGATATGTCTCCCTGGACAAGGGAACAAAAGCAAAAATAACAAGTGGCACTATATCAAACTAAAAAGCTTCTTATGGCAAAAGAAACCATCAACAAAACAAAAAGGCAACCTACAGTATGGGAAAACATATTAGTAAATGATATATCCAATTAGGGACTAATATCCAAAATATATAAAGAACTCATGTGACTCAACACCAAAAACCAAATAACTCAATTAAAAAATGGGTAGAGGACCTGAATATACATTTTTCCAAAGAAAATGTACAGATGCCAACAGGCACATGAAAAGATGCTCCACATCACTAATCATCAGGGAAACGCAAATCAAATCCACAATGATATATCACCTCCCACCAGGCAGAATGACCATTATCCAAAAGACAAGAAATAGCAAGTGTTGGTGAGGATGTGGAGAAAAAGGAAACCTCCTACACTGTTGGTGGGAATGTAAATTGGTGCAAACACTGTGAAAGCTATATGGAGGTTCCTCAAAATACTAAAAATAGAAATACCACATGACCCAGTAATTCCAGTTCTAGGAATTTACCCAAAGAAACAAAGTCTCTGATTCAAAAAGATACGTGCACCCCTATGTTTATTGTCACATTATTTACAATAGCCAATATATGGAAGCAACCCAAGTGTCCATCAATAGATGAATAGATAAAGAAGATGTCGTACATATACAAAATGGAGTATTATTCATCCATAAAAAAGAAAGAAATCCTGCTATTTGTGACAACATTGATGGACCTAGAGGGTATTATGCTAAGTGAAATAAGCCAGGCAGAGAAAGACAAATATTGTATGATTTTACTTATTTGTGGAATATAAAAACAAAGCAAAACAAAATGAATAAAACAGCAGTAGACTCAAGAAGTGAATGGTGGCTACAGTGGGAGAGGGGTTGGGGTGGATGGGTGATACAGGTGAACGGGATAAGAGGCACAAAATCTCAATCATAATATAAATTAGTCATGGGGATGAAAGTATAGCATAGAGAATATTTCTGTAATATCTATGTTGACAGGAACTACACTAGTTGGGGTGAACATTTAATAATGTAGAAGTTAATTTTTTAAAAGTGGTATTGAATTCTTCAATTATAGTAGTGGGTTTTCTATTTTTCCTTGCAGTTCTAGAAGTTTTTGCCTCATATATTTTGATGCTGTGTTGTTAGATGTATACACATTAAGTATTGTTTTGTCTTTCTAGGGGATTTAACACCTTTAACATTATGTAATGCCCTCTCTTTAGCCCTGATAAATTTCCTTGTTCTGAAGTCTGCTTTGCCTGAAATTTAGATATGCCCTCTTTCTTTTGATTAGTGTTAGCATGGCATAGTTTTCTTCAACCTTTTACTTTTAACTTGTGTCTTTATTATTGGTAAATTTCTTGAATTCCTTGTGATAACACACAGTTGGGCCTTGTTTACCCACTGACAACCTCTGTATTTTAATTGATGTAGACTAATTCACACCATGTTTGTAACTGTTTTCTATTTGTTCCACTTGACTTTCATACCTAACTATGGAATTTGTAATTTTGTATACTTTGTGTTAAAGTGAAACCTTCAAATCCCTCTGACCCGAAGCCCCATCCCCACCCCCCACTCCCCACTTCCCAGCCCCCACCCCCATGCATTAAGGAGAGGAAGCTGCTCTGGTGAGGCAAGAGGGACGTAGGGAAGGATGAAACAGTACGTGATGCCCTGGGTCTTTGCTTGGTGGATCCAAATCCCCGGACGCTGACAAACGTTCCAGCCAATGAGAACGTTCCTACAGTCCATTTGCGCCGATAAGGGGCGGGGCTCCCTCCTGCCTTTCGGCTGGGCCCAGAGTGGGCGTGGCTCACGCGCCTGCCTGTTTACTGCCTGGTGCGTCCACCCGGCTCTGTGTTGCTCAGGCAACCGTGGCTGGGTCGCTGCAGGCTCTGTTGGAAACGTTCGGTGCACTGAGGACCCTGTACCTGTCGGGAGATCGTTCGCAGTGACTCAGTTCCCCAGGAATACATCGGAACAGTAGGGAGAGCAAGGTTCTGTGGTCTTTTCACCTGAATTCCTTGGTGGGCGCTCGGGTGCCTGACGGGCTGCGTCGCATGGCGACCCCCTCTCGGGCCTCAGCGTGCATCCCGCGGCCGGATTCGGGTGGGGAAGGGGCTTCGCATATCCTCAGAAAACCACCGGGCGAACCATGAGCCCGCGAATTGCAGGCTCCGCTTCCCCCGTGGGCTGTTCAGTTTGCATCAGTGCCTTTATTTGCTGCCATTTATAATTACCTTAACGGGGCGGGGGTCTTTGAAGGAGATCCGCGCAGCGGGGTCTTGCGAGGCTGCGGCCAGGGAACAGCCCGAGCCGAGAGAACAGGCCCTCTGTGTTCTTTGCAGAGCCATGGGCAGCAAGAAGAAGGAGATTCCCCTGCAGGTAGGTCTCAAGAGGCGCTTGCTTCCAGCACTTGGTTGAGTTTGAGGGCCGAGGAGTACGGTGTGGAGCGAGAAGGGCTGTATAAAAGTGCTGTTCTGTTAGCCAGCAGTACGTGATAGACAGTGTACCCTTCTGATTTAAAGGGAAAAACCTTACCTCACATCCCTAGTGATGACAAATATTTTGTGCACTTTAATATAAATAAACATAAAATTAGGTATAAACTCTTTATGCTTATAGGATTTATGCAACTATAAAACCCAAACATGAATAAAAAAGAAAAAAACAGGAAAAGATGAATCAGTATAATCTGGTGTGACATGTTTTGTTGAAATACAATTGCAGCTTGCTGTGAGAATATCCATTCCTTTGCCTTTGGGCATGGGTCTGTAACTGTGCTCCCTGGGGACTGTGCTTCCACCACTGCTCTTTTCAGTCATCTGCTTATTCAACAAATGTTTTGATATTTTATGTGCAGCAGATTCGTTTCATAGAGTGCCTTACTTCAGTTGAACCTGGGACAAGTGAATCCATAAGCCAGTGTCTGCTCTTTTTTTTTCAAAGCCCTGAACAATATATAGTGGTTGCTTTTAAAGCAATGGTTAATATAGGGAGGGGGATGAGGGAATGGGTAAAATAGGTGAAGGGGATAAAGAGGTACAAACTTCAAATTATAAAATAAATTAGTCACAGGAATGGAAGTACAATGTAGAGAATATAACCAATAATATTGTAATATCTTGGTATGGTAACAGGGTAACTACACTTACCACAGTGTTCAGTAATGTATATAATTGTACTTGTTGCTGTATGAACGATTTCCTCAACCTCTCTGAGCCTCCATATCCTTTATGTAAACAGGAGGGATAATGCATAACCTGCAGAGTTGTGACGAGACTCCTTTAGACATTTCTAGGCTGGTCTGGATGCGTCTGGGTTGGCTGTAAGATTTGTGCCCCATGTGATTATCTTTATGTGTAGCTATGCCCTATATCCCTTTTGGGGGTAATAACATTTTCCAGCAATTTAAAAAAAGTATGTATTTCAGCAATAAAAAAATGCATGTTTCTCCATAGCTCTGAGTTCCATGCAGTACCCAAGTAAGTGTTCCCCTTAGCTGCAGGAGGAAGGGTTGTGGTGCGCACTGAGGTAGCCGTAAGCATTGCCTCTCTACCAGGTCTGCGCCTTAGAAGCAATGCTCCAGAGTCGGCCAACCCGCAAACCCTGATCCCTCTCTGGGTAAGATGATTTAGGATTCTTTCTGTGACTGGAACAGAATTGCAGGATAGCAAGAGATAGTCTGGTCAAAAGGTGCCACACATTCCCCGTTTATTCTCTACCAAATGTAGGTCTTAGTGAAGTCCAAGTATTTCCCATACCGATCTGCTCACGTCCTGCTCCTGGGAGTGAGATTCTACACCTCTCCAGAGTCCTGGCCCCACTGCTGGTGTGGCTCACTTCACGACAGAGGCGCAGCTTAGAGAGTTGCCACTGATGGACAGCTGGACCTCTGGAAGTGATGTTATGAGGGGGATGGGGTACTCTTCTGAACCTTCTGTCACTTTCCTTAGGACAATAGTTGTGGGCCCAGGATGATATCAGTCCAATTCTCTTATTTCATTTAAGGCACCAAGAAGAAGACTTTCTGTTTCTTCTTCTTCTTTTTTTTCCATAAAAACAATAAAGTACGGGAGCATGATTTCTTTAAAAAGATCTTTAATAGAGGATTTGCAGATGTAATAAGTTCCAGCCTTTTAAAGGCACAAAGACCTTAGCATCCCTGTATTAAGAGTGAATGTACTTGTTATGGTCTTTTAATTTATGTATTTTCAAAGTAGCTCCCCACAAAAATGTATTAATTACAAAGTGAAAGGAAATAATTTCACAGTGCAGAAGCCTGACAGACCACCTTAATCAAGTGATCAAAGTGAACCTCATCAGTCATGGGCAGATTGAAATTGTGTGTCGCCTGGTAAGATGCAATGAGAAAGCTCTTCCACTTACCTGACACTCTAACCAGTTCCAACCAGTCCCAGCCAATCCAAAGATGTACAGCCTGCATCAAACTAGGAGGAAACGTCAGTCACACCCGATCTGAGGGACGGTCTACAAAATATCCCTCCCGTAGTTTCACAAGTGTCAAGGCCATGAAAATCAAAGAAAGATGGAAAGAACTGTTTCAGACTGAGAGAGACTAAAGAGCCTTGGCAAATAAATCCAGCACATGATCCTGAATAGATCCTTTGCTATTCAGGACATTATTGAGGTGATTGGTAAAACCAGGATGGGGTCTGTGGATTAAATAGTAATAATATATCAATGTTTATTTCCTGATTTTAATAGTTGTATTGTGGTTATGTGGTATAATGGGATATTAGGTTGGTAATTTATTTTCAAATAATCCAAGCAAAAGTTCTTTATACTGTACTTGCACATTTTCTGTAAGTTTGAAATTCTTTCAAATGAAAACATTATGTAAAAATATACACTAATAATAAGGTACTGTGTATGACAGTATGCATTTCTTTTTGAATTTCATTTCTAATATAAACCAGAATTCTTTGTAGATAAGATAAAAATGTGAAGAAATGACAATAAATTACTTCTGACATGGATGTTTGGATATATTTAACAAAAGATGTGCAAAAGATATACACTGAAAACTACAAAACATTGAGGAAGCTTTAATAAATGATGACAAATATATTCATGGACTGGAAGACTCAGTGTTGTTAAGATTTCAAAAATTTCCCCCAAATTGAACCATATATTCAATGCAATCCCAATTAAGATCTCTGCAGAATTTTTGCAGAAATGGACAAGCCTGTTCTAAAATATATTTGGAAATGCAAAGAACCTTGAATAGTTGAACAGTATTGAAAAAAGGACAAATATGGAAGCCCCATACTGTCTGATTACAAGACTTATTATAAAGCCATAGTAATCAAAATAGTGTGGTACTGGCATAAGAAGGGACCAATAGGTCAATAAAACAGAAGAGTCCAAGAGGAGCCCAGACTTATGCAAAGGTACCAGAGCAGTTTGATGGGGAAATAAATCTTTTCAGTAAATTTTACAGAACAACAGTACTTCTACATGGAAAAAAATTAACCCCAGCTCCTCCTTCACAATATAGACAAAAATTAATTACAGATGAGATGGCTTGCAGACTTAAATGTGAAAGCTTAAATTATAAAGCTTCCAGAAGAAAATAGGAGAATATCTTGTGACTTTGAGGAAACATTTCTTAGAAGAACATAGAATGCACTAACCATGAAGCTAAAATTCAATAATTACACTTCATCAATATTAAAAACTTCTGTCCCACAAAAGACATTGTTAAGGAAATGAATAGGCAAACTACAGACATGAGACATATTTAGAGTACATATATCTGACAAAGATTTGTACTTCCCCTCAATATTATATATATACATATATGTATCTACTGTACATCTAATAATAAAAGGCCAACAATCTAATGAAAATAGACAGATCAATGGGTATTTCTCAAAGAAGATAACACAAATGACTGATAAGCATTTTATTAATAATGCTAAACACCATCAATCCTCAAGGAAATGAAATTAAAGCCACCATGAGATACCATTACATCACCGTTAATGTGGCTAAAATTCAGAAGACTGACATCACCAAAGTTTGGTGATAATATGGAGCAACTGAATCTCTTTGCTGATGGAATTTTAACATGGTACAGCCACTTTAGGAGAAGCACTAGCAGGGTCTTATTAAACTAAACATACATTTACCCTATGTCCCACCAATTCCACTTCTAGGTATTTACTTACCAAGGACAAATGGAAACACAAACACACAAAGATTTAACAAGAATGTTCATAAGTCTTGATTCAGCATACTCCCAAACTGGAAGTAACCCAAACGTCTATCAAGCAAATTATGATATAGTCCTACCGTGGAATATACTCAAGAATAAAAATGAACAAATTACTGACACATGAAAACACAGATGAAGCCCAAACATGTGCTGAGTGAAAGAAGCCAGCACAAAGTAACACGTGCTGTATTATTCCCTTTATATGACGTTTTAGAAGACAGGACAAATCTGTTGTGATGGAAAGCAGATGAGTGTTTCCTGGGGTGAGTGAGCCCTGGCGAGTGGCTGGCAGGAGGTCCAGAGGGACTTCCGGGGTGGTGGAAATGCCCTGCGTTGTGATACGGGTTCGGGCACCTGGGTGTATGCGTTTGCCAAAACTCACTGAAGTGGTAACACTTTAGTTTTGTGTGTTTCACAGTATGTAAATTATATCTTAAAACATAGAAAGACAAAAAACAGATGAATTCTTCTCTGTATTCATAAATATGGATAAATGTCAAAACTCAACATTGAGTGAAAAAAATGCAGAAGGATATCTATAGGATAATACTATTTATGTACATTTTATGAATATAAGACAATTTTATATGTTGTTTTCAGATGAGTAACAAGTAAAAATTATTTTTAAAAAAATGACAGATTTTTGTATGATGGTATCTATTCCTGGGGATAGAGGCAGGAAGAGAGAAAGAGAAAAGAAAATTGGGCAAAGAGGTCAGGTTGACCTTTGTAACTGTTTCATTGAGGTGCTTGGAGGGAGGGAGAGATCTGGAGCCAATCATGACCTCGGGGGCCCCTCGGCGCCCTCACTGACACAGCATTTGTTTCTCTTTGCTGGTAGGTCAGCATCAGCACCCAAGAACTGTGGGAGGAGATGCTCAGTGCTAAAGGACTCACTGGTAATTGAAGATCATTTTTTACAGCCAGCCTTTTCAAAATTGCTAAATGACACATTGGTGCAATGAGCACCGTATTCCTCTAACCTTGAGTTTCATAGATAAAAAACCAGGTAATTTCAGTGTGTGTGTGTGTGTGTGTGTGTGTGAACACATATATATACAAACACACACATATATTTGTGACTTGAACATCTGTTAGTAAGCTCAGTCCAGGAAACCAGGGAGTGTTTTTAAAACAGGGTTCCCCTGTTTAAGTTGATTGTCACACTGAAGGGTTGTTGGGTGTTAGCATCCCAGGGACTGGAACCAGGGACCACACAGTCCTCAGGACACAGCACAGCCACTGTCCCTGGGTCTCCTAGTCCCTAGCCACCTCATATCAGTTTTCTATTGCTGTTCAACAATTTACACCAGAACTCAGTGGTTTAAAACAGCATTTACTATTCCCCCATTTCCGAGGGTCCAGAATGCATGTGTCCCTTAGCTGGATGTCCTGGCTCAGGGGCTAACACAGGTTGCAGTTAAGGAATCAGAAGGAAATGTCAGAGCTCAGCTGGCATCAGATTTGTTTCCAAGCTCCGTCATGTGGCTCTGGCATAACTTAGAAGGTCACTTCCAAGTTCATCCATATGGCTATTGGCAGGACTCCAGTCCTTGCTGACCAGAAACACCAATTTCTTGCCATCAGTCTCTCTATAGGCTACTCACAACATGGTGATTTTCCTCCAGAGAACAGGGCTGAGAGACAGACAGACAGACAGGGGGAGGGACAGAGAGGGAGAGAAATGAAAGCCATGGCCTTTTTGTAACCTCATCCAAAAGTGACATCCCATCACTCTTGCCCTGTTCTATTTCTTAGAAGCCAGTCACTAGCTCCAGCCTGCACGCCAGGGCAGGGGGTCACAAAGGCCTAAGGCCCCGGGGGCAGGGATCATGGGCAGTGTCTTAGAGGCCGCCTACCACACCCCACTCCCCAGGACTGCCTTCCCTTCTTCATTTACTCTAGATCTCTCTGGCTCTGTTTCTCTCTGTGTCTGCTCAGGCCTCCTCTCTGTAAACAGACCTGCTCAGTCAGCTTTCTGCTCTTTTCTTTCTCGCAATGTACCTTCCCGCAATGACTTCAGCTTTCAAACCCCTCCACCTTCCCTCTCTCATGACTCAATTTGTCTTTCCAGCCCTTTCACCCACTGAACATGTCCTCAGCCCCAACCTGCTTCCTGAACATGTCACGTGTTTTCCCAGTTTTTCACTGTCATCCCTGTCATTCCTACTGCCTGGGAAAACTCACAGCCCTTCTCATTCTCAGGCTCAGCTCTAAAGCCATGCCTTGCATGCAGTCTTCCCTGAAGCTCTGTGTGCTCACTTCCCCCTGGGAATCTCTAGGGCTTGGGGGTAGGACTCAGTGTCACACCCCAGAGCACACCCAGCTTGGGTGACCCCTGTGTGGGGTGCTCTCTCATGGCTTTCCCCAGACTCTGAACACAGGGCACTGTCTTCATTCACATCCGCAGCTGACTTGTCCAGGCCTGGGCCCTACTGGGTGCTAATTAAATGCTGGTTGCACTGATCCAGTAGTGTGGGTGTGAATCTTGCCACACTCTACTACTGCTTGGGGAATTACGAAGCTTTTCTGATGGTGCCAAGTCTTAAATATTTTGTCCACGTGTTGTGTCTGTGCAACTAAAACATGGCTCCAGGGCAGAGCTATAACTTCTCTGTCTTTAACAGCAGTAGAAGACTACCGCCTTGTCATTTGGGGGTAATTTGCCACGTTTCAGTTACCATAGGTGAACAAAGCTCACATCTTGTTGAGGATGGACTCACCAAGTCCGCTGTAAGTGGTGCCAGGGAGTTTGTTCACTGCAGGCAGCAGGGGCTTGTCTGCCCCTTCTCACTCCTCCCTCTTCCTAGAGCCTGCAGGAATTTGCTTCCAAAGTCAACCACTCTCTTGAAAGTCTTGCCTTGTGCTGGCTCACATCCACCTACCTTCAAACATGTAAAAAAAAAAAATTCAGGTGTATACATTGTACATACTCTTTCCCTCTAGGTGTGTACTCTGTTTGCTTCCTGACCTTCAGAGTCAAACTCTCCCTATGGTTCCTCTCCGGTACCCACTCTGCATGGCCTTGTGAAGTGTGCCTTTGTCCCCACCACTCCATGGAGAGCCAGGGGTGCAAGAGGAGTGGACGCCATTACAAAGGATTAGGCTGAACTAGCAGTAGAAATCCTGCTTAAGAGATTGGTTGCTAATTGGGCCCCATTTTTTTCCCCACTGGGGCCCTGACCTGCCCTCTTTGGTGGGCCTGGAGACAGGGTTCTCTAAGTCCTCAAGGACTCTCTCCTGGCCTGACCCAGTGCCCTTCTTCTCCATTACTGTGCTGTACTGAATCTCCAAACCCCCCAACTGTGAAGCCGTTGCTCTCAAGGAAGCCCAGAGCTTGGCACCCCCCACCCAGATGCCAAGGAGGCCCGAATCCCGCCCTCCTGCCCCTGCTGGTATCTGGCTGCCTTTGGGCCCCATGCCTGAGGTTGACTGGTTGGTACTGGAAACCCGTATGACTAGAATCTAGTCCACTTTTCTCCCTCCCTGCAAGTGATCTCTCCCTGCCTCCACCCAGTTCTTTCTGCCTGCCGAGCTCAGTGCTGGAGGCCTTTCCACACCCATGTCCCCGCACCGTCCCCTTCCTTTCCAGGGTCTCATGGATTCTTCGGTCCCTTCCCTCCCATCCCACTGTCACCCCGTCTGGCATCCTCATCTCTCCCACACCCAGCTTGGCTCTGGCGCTCTCTCTGCAGAACCAATCAGTACTCCAGGATTGTGCTTCCTGCCGCTTTCCTGCAGTCAGCTGAAAGAGCGTGGGCTCTGGCTTCAGACGTGCCTGGATTCAAAACTTGGTTCTACTGCTTGAGAATTTTAAGTGTTTTACTTTGGGTTGGTTACTTCGCCTCTTTGTGCTTCATTTTCCTCATCTTTGTGGTAAGGTAATGATTCCCATCCTGTTTTTTTTTTGAGAGAAAAGCAAAGTGCAGATGCCCTCTTGCAGCTCAATAAATATCAGCTCCCTTGCCTTTCTAAAATTTTCTGTGAATCCCCACTGCCTCGCAAATCAGGGGGTGGGGGAATGCCTCAAACCCACATTCCATGCTCCTCCATGTTGCTGCCACCACTTGCCATACCCAACTGCAGTCAGGACTGGTCCCGACCCACCCAGCGGCCCCCAATCCCCACCTGTGCCTGGCCGCCCCTGCTTCCCACCACAGCCTCCCTGTCTGCCCAGTTGAGCCTGGCATTTTCCACAACACCCAGTGCAAGTAGCCCTTCCACTGGGAGGCATTCCTTCTCTGATGAGTACACTACCAAGTTCACACAGTGCTTCCAGGATCTATGCTAATTTTAATAGTAATTTATATTTTGCTTTATTAATAGTTTTCACATCATGTGAAAGTTGTGAAATGTGAATCTTCAAAAAGTAAAAGCACAAATTGCATGCTGTTAAAATTGGCAGGCTGGTAGTTCATAAACAGTGTCTACACTATCTCCCTGTGACCGGGCCAGAAATGCCCACCTGTGTGGATGAGGCTTGAGCCTTGTGAGTGCTGACGTCTTTGGGAAGACATCCTCTTCTAAAATGTGGCCGCTGGTACATCACAATCTGGCACTGGCCGTGTCCGGCTGGGCGGGCCCTGCATGTATCCGGTGCACGTGTTGGTATAGCTTACTCAGCTTTCCTGCAGGCCTGTGGGCCCATGCAACAGGACCTCATACCCAGTCCTGGTATACTCCATAGACTGGGACCAAAGAAGAAAAACACCCAAGTTTCCATCTAGGTCTCTAGAACAATGCTGATTTTATAAAATCAATAAAACTCTCCTTCACCCAAAGTAAGTGGTTTTTAATTCATCAGCAGAAAAAGTCAAAGCTGTGTTTATCATCAAAGTAGCTAAGACTTGCTTGTATGTTGACAGGTCACCTACAGTGACCTCTTTTTTTTGGAATAGGTAGTTTCAGTCTAATTGAAATATTTATTGAGGGTCCCCCTCTGTGCTAGGTCTGACCCTAAATGTAGCTTGGAAACTCTTTAAGGTAAAGGATCTGTGTTAAGAAAATGATTTTCCACCATACTTACTTCATTACATTTAGAATTCAGAACATTCAAAAGAACGAGGGCAAGCTATGTTTCCATGCCTGCTCATACTCTGATGGGATAGATAATAAAGCCCTTTAACTGTTAAATCCCCCTGCAAACGGATGTCCACTGGGGAGGGGTCAGAATATGCAGGTGCATGTCTGCCTGTCATGGCTTGTGCTTTGCCCACTGACCGTTCCTGCTTCTTGGTTCAACACAGTTGTCGATGTCTATCAGGGCTGGTGTGGCCCCTGTAAGCCCGTGGTGAGCCTTTTCCAGAAGATGAGGATGGAGGCTGGCCTGGACCTTCTGCATTTTGCATTGGTAAGATCCTCTCTCAGCAGAGTATCACATAACATTGTAAAATAATAAAAAATTTGAAGACAGGAACAGGAAGTGTGAGCTGCCTTTCTCAGAGTATTGAAAAGGTGTCAGCTGTGGGTGTTTTGTTGCTGATCAGGCATGATGCTAATTTATGGTTTCTCTAGAGATGGAGCTTCCCACCCCTGCCCACACCTCCCTCCTTGACAGTCCCTCGCAGCTCAGGCAGCCTCCAGGGCTGTGCACAGGGAAGGAATACATGTCCCTCCAACCAGAGGCTCCTTCCTGGCTTACAGACCCTGGGAACTTTGAGTTTCACTTTCAGGGCACAGGGTAGCAAGATTTCTTCTGCTCCATAATGGGGATCTTCTAACAAACATTTATTTGGATTAATGGATGAAAATGGGGAACTTCCAGAGAAGTATGCAAGAGATGCTCAGTATTTTCTGCATGGATTTGGGGTTCATAGACTGAACGCAGGAGAAAATATACCTTCCTGCTGGCTAATCTCTCAAGGACTTCGCACTTCCTCGGATGGGAGTCAAGTTTTGGCATTTCTGGAGAGGGCATGGAGGAAACCCCGGGATGGGGAGTCATCATGTCTGTTAAGGGTGTGTCAGCCACTGCAGGCCAAGTCTGGAGACCCCTTGCTCCTGGGACTGCCAGCTGGGGCAGCAGGTGGGTGGTAGACAGTGAGGCTCCCTTGACCTGGAGCAGTAACTGGGTGGGGAGCAGAAGAAACCATTGTTTCCTCCCTATTTTATTCTTGAAAGAAGTATACGCTGTCAACAACTTTCACCAGTATGTTGACAGGACAGCTGTTCTGATTCTGATGAAAAGACATTAAAAGGAGTAGTGAGAGCAAGTGGGCTTCACCTGGGGAGGACAGTCAGGGCATGGGGGGGCACGTGTATGAGTGTGTGTGTGTATGTTTAGGGTGTGTGCTGTGTATATGTGAGTATGTATGGGGTGTGTATGTACTGGGTGTGGTATGTGTGTATATTATGTGCTGTGGTGTGTGCGCATATGGGGTATGTGGTGGGGACCGTCCCATGTAGCTCTCCTGCCATCAGGCCCCTGCGTCCGCTGTGCCCAGGGTACTGCTGACAGTCTGTTCTCTTTAGGCAGAAGCAGATTGTCTGGATGTTCTGGAAAAATACCGAGGAAGGTGTGAGCCAACCTTTCTGTTTTATGCGGTAAGTACATCTTCAGAATCAGAACTAATCAATGGTTGTATATCACTGCAGTTCATGTAGAGGCACCTCACTGACATCAGTTCTCCCTGGGAGTCACCGAGAGGCCGCACTGACCCAAACCAGTGAGGTGTTTTCTCTGTGACCATATCAGTTATTTTGGTTGAGGACAGATGTCCTCGAGCATGGTAACGCAGGCCCCTGCCTGGGCTGGTGGCCATAGGCTGTGCTCACAGGCAGCGGGGTGGGTGCCACAGTGCTGCCGGCCAGGGGGCTTGTGCTCTCCTGTGTGGCCGCACACGGGAAAGTCTGGGAGTTACTCAGACGGGCGCTCTGCGGGCTCAGGAACACCCTTGACTGCATGTGCACTCTCAGTGCAGAGCTTCAAGATTTCTATCCTCTGCTCCACAGAGGGGAGCTCTCAGTCAGTCTCAACAGCCCTCTGAGGTAGACAGGCTCTGCGTTCACCTTTACTCAATCTTAAGACGTGAAGATATGTTTACAGGAAGTCGGAAATGCAAGGGACTTACTGAGGGGAGCCAAGTGGGTCAGTGTTTTGCAAATATAATTAGATGTCTCTGGGTGTGACAGCCAGCTGTGGCCCCACGCCTCTTAGGGCCACAGCCACACCTGGCTCCCTAGGTGTGGATCCCCCACAGGGCCCTGCAGGCAGTTTGATCCTGACCCCGCCGCCTGGTCACACAGTCAGGGAGACAGCGGGCTGCCCACCCAGGTCTCCTGGCAGCCTGGCTGGGGTTGTTGGATTTGGAAACCTTTGGTCTCCTGCCATCAGCACCACAAGGAGGACAGATTGGAAGCTTATGGTAAAATGTTACTCGAGCCTTGACTTCTAGTAGGGAGACCAAAGCTATGTGATGAAACATGTATGGGGAGGGAGGCAGACATGGGGAAGAGCCGGGATAAACATCCCGCGGCCGGGGTGGGGGGTGGTGTCGGAGTGTCATTGCAGAACTGGGATCACCACCACAAGTGGTGGGCCTGCCCGAGCCCATAGTGATTAAAACATCAATCATAATCGGCTGTGTGGGACTGTGTGCAAAGCCGGCAGGCTCTGGCACAGTCTCTCCCCCTCTGGTGGGGTGGGAATGCAGGAAGACCCACTCCACGGGGCCTTGTGTGAGTAATGTGCATGGAGACCGCTGAAAAGGTTAAGCAGGAAACCCAGCATCACCTGAGAGACCATGCCCACCGACGGGGTGAAGTGTCCTGAGCACCCAGAGCTGGGACGTGAGCCATGCCCTGCGTGCCAGGCGTCATGGTCTTAGCCTGCTGTCACTGTTTCTCTGATGGGACCACCCCTCTCCCCACTTGACTCCCCATTCATCGGGGGTGGCAACTATGTCTTTTCATGTTCAGTGTCTATATTCTTTACTGCTGTCTTGGCTCTTGGCATACTGAGTGTTCAGTAAGTATTTGTTGAATGAATGAGCCATATAGAGGCCACACTTAGTCACTCACAACCTTGTGTGCCCTGTTCCACCCCTAAGTTTTGAAAGGAGGGGCACAGAGAAGTGGATGGAGGTCATGGGCCTGGGGTTGAGGGTCAGCGACCTTGGGCACACTCTTAAACAAAGCTCTGGGACACTCTCGCTGTCTCTTGATAAATACTTGGGGAGAGGAGCTTCTGTGGTCTGAGCAGCACATGTCTTCTGTATCCCAGGGAGGAGAACTAGTGGCATTGGTTAGAGGAGCAAACGCCCCGTTGCTGCAGGAAACCATCCTAGACCAGCTGGAGGCAGAAAAGAAGGTGTTGGCTGAAGGCCGAGAACGGAAAGTGGTAAGGAGGTCACTTCTTCAGGCCCCAAACCCTCAGGCCAGCTCTGGGCAAGGCCGGCAGTTCCCTTCCATCCCTCCGCTAGTTCTCCTGGAGTGCTCGGGGGAAAGCTTCATTGAATGCCTACCCCGGGGTCCTCCAGGGCTCAGGGGACAGCCCAAAGCCCAGTGACATGCATGCATTTTGAAACCTTCTTCTAAAAAAGTCCTCTCTTCATCCAGAACTTCTAACTTCTTTTATCCATTTCTCTTTCATCCCCCACTTCAACTCTTAACAGGGGTTTCTGGAATCCTGACAATGAATTCAGAAATGAATATGGAATTGAGGAGTCAGCCTTGTGGTGTCCTGGTGACCCACCCTCACCTCCCATTCCTGAAAGTTTTCCTTGGGATCCAAGAGAATTCATTAATTTAGAAATTAATCTCTGTCATTAGTGTGAGAAATGGGATCAGCATAATTTGTGATTTCCATACAATAATTCCATGATAACACTTTTTCTTGAGTAACTGGCTGCCATTGAAAATTGACACACCTTGGGTAAAGAGAGGTTATTTCTTGGCACTTTGAGCATCTGCCAGATGAGTGTAAACATTGTTCAATTCTAGTTTTCATATCAATCCCAAATGGCAAAGCCCTGATTTTATAGAATGGGTTAGAATCAAATCATGTTTTTCCCCCCAAAAACTGGCAATTTTCCCCCAAGCAAGAAAATCATAAATCCTTGTGCCCCCTGCAGGGGAAAATGAAGTCTACTACTTCCCTGCATTATGTAGCCAATCATAATATTTACTTGCATTTCAGTTCTTCTTTTGTTTTCTTGCCAACTATTTCATCTTTGTTTTTCCTTAGTTTCTACTTGATGCTTGTGAAAACAGGCAGAATCTAAACCTTAAGATAACACAGATTCCCTTGTCCTTGAAAGCTTCCCCTACATCATC